TTGCAAGTTTATTCTCTGATGTATATAAAATCATGAAATGGAATCAGTTTACGTACAATAAACCAATGATGATGTGTTTAAGGTTAAATTTCCTTCTTGTTGAGACAACAAAATAACCTGGAAGTTTTCTTTAAAGAACTGCCATGAGATACAACTAATATGTAAACCGCAGTTTAGCGTTCTAATAAATCCGTTATATTATGTTCCATTAAATCAACCGTGCTTTCTTGTACGTTCGCTATGATCGATTATTAATGCAAAACTCAATGTTTGGTTGTCACACATCTGCGCTTGAATGCATCAATGCTAGTATAATCATTTATGCAACAACATAGATATCTATCATATCGTTCATCATGCTGTAGAAGCGAATAATTTATCGCTGTATTAACTTTATATTTGGAAAACATGGTCATAGTGATGGATCGATTGTTATGCATAACATCGACCAGGATCAGCGCTCCGCGGAAGACCTGGCTTTCTATTAGCCACCACGAACGAGGCAGATCTGCACATCTGCAGAAATGGAAATTTGCAGGCTTGCCTCAATGTGAATCTGGAGCAGATGCTCAGACCATCATATCATTGAATCTTCTTTTCACAAATTAAATTTGCAACACCGGAAATAAACAAGATCTTGAAGGCTAGCGTCAAATTGTTTTCCAACATTTAACTCCGATCCATTATTTACTCTTAATCATCAAACAGAAAAAAGATAGCATCGATTGAGCTGCCGGGAAAACCTGACTTTGGATGTGATTGGAAAGCTCTTCAAGCTCTCTCTGATACCATTTGCCTTGACGTTTATCTTTTTCTTTACACAGAGCTTGACTTTCCTTATGTTTTCAATCCTGTATAGATATGTTGCGCTTCAGTGCGCCTTTGACCAGTGGTCAGTTTCTAAAGAAAGCAAAGGAACTCCTGCGATAGCTTGGGCATGTATTGCGAATGCCTCCAGAAAGGAAGGCTAAGCAACTGTTCCTTGCAAATCCGCCCAGCAGAAGGCCCAGGGGACAACCAGGATTAACCTGGTGCAAATATATGGAAGGAGTCTGTTCCAGACTCTATTTGTCTTTTGCCGAAGCTCAGACTCTGGCACAGGATTGAAAGAAATGGGAACGTTGGAAGCACTGTCTGACGCGTCTGCCTCCGTGATCCGAAAGGAGAAGCGGCGATGGAAGATGAAGATGAAGCAAAGGAACTGCGATTCCCTCAAAGGATCATTTTATCAGATAACTCAGTTGATCAGAGCAAATGAACGTTCCCATTTTGCCGTCTGCCTTTGACAGAAAGAATGACGTTTCAACTGAACTAAACTTTTGTTGAATTCAGCAATTGCAAGTCAGGCAGTTATGGAACGTCTACTACAAGCAGTGGTCAGAGAAGTGGTATTAATGATAGAAAATGCACTTCCCTCCAGGAACTGGCATTCTAGCAAATGATTTGCTGACAAACACGATATACTCTGCATTAGTCAGAATACAACTCAACAAAAATCTTTGAGTTGAGAATTGTGCAAAACCGTCTCTAACTTTAAGTATGGTCACGTATGCATGAGAGTTGAAACAGCTGATCGTCAAGAAGGTGCGCCAGGGGTGGATGCAGGAACAAAATGAATGAATAAGTGAAAGTGATGAATGAATTATTGTTTACCGCTTTAATGAAGTAGATAAAAATTTTATTTTCCACCAAAACAAAAATTACTATACAATTTAAAGCAATGCATATATTGCAAAGAAGCTTAGAGCCAGCAAAACAGTCAGTAACAAACGATGAAACCGGTGAAACCAGTAGAGAACCATGAAGAAAAGTAAACAAGAACAGGATCTGAAAGAACCTTGTCACATTGAGCAAAATTGTGGATTTAATCCTGAACAGATTCATTTGCTGCTCATTCCTCTGTGAGTAATCAGTGTCGCCATCTGATGACTGATGGATAAGAAAACCGAAAGAAAAAATTAGAAGTTGCCAATGCAGTCACAGATTATCATCCTTTTCGATTCATTGCTTGATGAACGCTCCTTCAAGATTTTGTTACAAACTTCTCCCTTACTTTAAGAACTAATCTTGCCGATGATCTGAAGGCTTTCTCTTGGGTTGTTTACTGTCTCAGAGTCCAGTTAAATGTGTCTTTCTTTAGACGATGGTCGAATCTTCTCGCAACGTACTCTGTCTGTTGCTATTTCGACTTCTTCGTTCTTTGATAGATGCTACAGTCTCCTGTTTACTTTCCTGCCCATCTGTTCATTTTATTGCTTTAATACATGCATTTTTTATGCTGCGTTCTATAGTTCATAGCTTATGAACAGCTTTCATGAATGAGATGTGCGTTTTGCATCCATATGTGGGCACTATAAACAAGTATTGGCCGAAAACTCTGTTTCAAACACAAGGGCAGTTTCTCAGATAGGAAGAGTTTCATCTTCCAACAGTACTCCAAGCCATTCCAACTTTCCTCTTGATTTTACAGAGTCTAACTACCCCAGACGTTGCCTGCATCAACTACTTCTGGAGGATAAAATCAGAATGAATCGATGTCATGTCACCTCATAATGACAATGAAAGAAGAATGTCACGAATGATATACCTCACAGACGTACATGACAAATCGAGAGATTTATTCTCAGGTTTTCGTCTTTATTTTTTTTCGACGCACTGCCAACGAATATTTGAATATTCTGCTTTGATAAATGATAATTGCCATAAAATAAACAGTAATTAAACAAAATTAGCATAAACGATGTGAATAGTATAACAACACTGAAAACATTGCGCCCAAAAATTTGCCGACTTGATTTGCGAGACTTTTGGCGCGCCTTCCACCCAAACGTTATTCTATTCGACCAGTCAGGTTTCGTCGTGCTTGACAGTTTTGAGATGATGACAATGGATGCTAAACGACCGTTTTGTTATGGCGCTTAAACGCTGTTGTTTGCCGCTTCGTCGTCGACTCAAATGACTGACGCTGCGAGCGGCGGTGGTTGGAAAGAAAAAAGTAATAAATGCGTAAAGCGTGTCAAGGCCAAGCGACACTTATCCAAAATTCGTCCGTCCGTCCGTCCGTCCGTCTGTGAGAGTGATGGCAAAGAAGACGACGGGCTAACGAGAGAAATAGAAACTGCGGCTGGCGGTTTCGCTGAAGACTCAGCGACTGGAGAAGAAAAGAGGGCAGAGGTGTGCAGAAAATCTTATGACCACAGGTCATCTGAAATTATGAATATTTTGTGACGATGATTTTGATAACTGCCTCACTCTGATGCGACAGAAAAACTTACCTGCCAAAGAATTACCTGAACTCGCGCGTCACCGCTGACGACCGATTCGTGGAGCTAGCGGCGGCGATGTCACGTCAGATATTTGCTTCTCTACTTCGTTTCTAATCTCTACAGTAATCTGAAAGTCGGCCAACCGGCAGCTCCGCCTAAAGGTGGAACGACGGTGTCGGCAAGAACTTGTTTTGAATGCGCCACAGTACGCCACCCTGGCAAGTGCAAGTCATACTGTCGGACAAGTCGATAATCCGCCGTCCGACCGACCGCCGACCAACGTAATTAAGTTCATCATTCGTCAGCACCGAACCACTGGAGATACGATCGTAATTAATGTAATTTCTTGCTATTGATATTTGCATGTAACACCTGCTGTGCGAAGCAAATTATTCACAACTACCGTAGTTCATCGTACAAACGGCAGCAGCAAGTCCCGTCTGAGATGAAGTGAATTTTAGCTTCTTTCGATTAGCAGAAGCAGGTGTTGGGCATGGCGTTTGACGGCCCACAGTTCAGAGCGGACAGGAAGGAGAAGGTAGGATGAGTAAGAGAGTCCAAATGGTGAGTCACTGCAATTCAGTGTGATACGTACATACGACGACTGACGATTTAGTTCTTGACCCTTTTTTGACAAAATACGCAATAGCTATTCCTAGAACTGGAGTGAATTGAATTCAGCGTCAGTTAAAAGTCGAAAGACAGATTTAAAGTAGGTTCAAGACCACAAAGAAGGGTTAAATACTGCCCCTTCTGTTTTCTTGTGTAGAAATAGATGCTATTGAATGAAATAACACTGAATGCCAATATGAAGAAGGTCTTAGGCTGGAACAGAGCAGACTGCTCTCACTGTCGAGGGTTTTTCTTATGATAGTCTTTAGTTGCTAACTGAAGCAATCTGCACAACTATTGTGAAAGAGAGTTTCCGAATGAACCTAACTGAGGGTTTCCGCAATCTAAGTGTACCTAATTTAACTTACTTGGCTAAAAGTTCAAATAAAGAACAGGTAAAAGAGATGTGCCAATGGAAATAGCGCCATCGAAGGGTTCTGTCAGTTTAACTATATCGGCATTGCTATCTCGAATGATGGTAACGATTCAAACAAGAAAATTCGATGGCCTCGTTCACCGTTAAAAGGCACTGGAAAATCTGAACTGGTAAGGGAATAACAGTTTCTAAGAAGAAACATTCATACTGAGCTGCTGTTGAATGAGTTATGCCGGTGGATGGAAACAGCTGTACTTACATAAGAAGACAAACGCCGACTGAACAGCCTCAAATAGCACTACTCACGACGTATGCTGAACAACAGCTGGCATGCAGATATGAGGAACAAGCAGGTTTTCGCATTAGTTGAGGTCGTGGACATGTCGAAGGTCACAGTGACAGAGGGAAGTCATGGTCCACTCTTTTCGAAGGAGGCTATCAAAAGCCTTAGCACTGACTCTCCAGCTGTTGTTGTAAACGAAATTTTTCCGTCATCGACCTAATGCCAACGGTTCCTAATGTTAAAACGGAAAATTGAGCATCAAAAAAACAACTTCTGGTTTCGCGAGGTAACTAAGGACGAACGCTGATTCGACAGAACAACAACATCTGAGTTTATTGTTTAACCGTGACGATTAAACAGGTTAAATTAGCAGGTTTAACTAGCCAAAATATTTCTTGAAAAGCGAGAACTGTTTAATCAAAGAACTTGTTGAAATAGACAAAACTGGCGGACAACAGAGGAGACAAGAAGAACCAACCAACTGTACAAATCGAACCTGAACTGGAACGTGAAAAAAATTACGCGGAGTATAGGACTTGAGTGACAACACAACCCGGTACGAGAGGGGAGGAGATTCGTCATCCTCAGATCGGCTCCAATCAAACGCGTCATTGTAAACAGCGGTGGCGACGGCAACGACCAAGTGGCAGCTGTAGCTGGGTTGAGTTGCGGGACGCACGCCTCGCCTGGTCACGGATGGTGACAGTTGAACGAACACGTACAAAATGATCAATAAACAACCAATAAATAAGCATCGTCTCTCGTCGTGTGCAACAACGAAACCCAACTGCCTGTGTGTTGTGTGTGTTGTGTGTGCCGTGAGGCTGTCGATCACCAGTTCAGCGACGGAATGATGTGTTCGTGCTTGGTGTTCATCATCGCCAACGACGCGTTGAAGTTCGGGTGAGTTCTGTAGGAGGTGGCGTCGTCGCCGTTGCTGTTGAGCACCATGTTCGGACTAGCTTGCAGCGGTCGCATGTCCGTATCGTTCATCAGGTAGGACGAACCGTCCGCTAGAACGGAATCCTATTTTCAATGAACATTTATGAACTGACATCAACAGACGAATCTAATGCAATAAATGCGCGGCAATTGGCAATTAACAACTCTTTGGCCTAGTGAACCATGCAACTCGAACCTTAGTGAACGAACAGCGAAAAAAGTAAGCCATTTCACTCACTTGTGCAACCCTTATGCAAGCTGACGCAAAGACGACTTAAAAAACACTATAGGCTGAGGGTCACTATCTATGATGCCGAAAAAAATAGTTTTTGTAACAGTAAAATGAGAAAGGCTAGCCTCTGAGATACATTTCTGGGCGAGGACAACAAAGGTAATAAATGCCACCAGATGAAACATATGGAAGAAGGGGAAGGACAGATATATGGTTAATGGTTAGGGCACGTCCTGTGAATGCTTCCAAAAAGATACGTGAAGCTCTTACCACTTGCTCGATTGGCCGAAGACCCCAGAAACCTTCAAGAACGGCCTAGGATAAATACCTCGATAAACTCTGCTTCAGTCTCTAATCATCTTCTGCTGAAGCTCAAAGGCTGCCACAGGATCATGAACGTTAGAGATGCTGTCTTGCACTTCTGACTGCACAACCGAGAAGGACAAACGATCATCAAAACTGAGTGGCTGACTGAAAATGGGAAGAATCAAACTATTCTTAAGCAAAGGAAGAGTATGACACCAAAGCTACCGGACAATGTACTTTAGCTACATCATTTTCAGCAATAAAGCTCGCTGAATTTTACTGGGAAGACCCCTTTCATCAATCATGGAATTGGCTTTCACGGTAATTTGGCAAAGATCTTGACAGAGCGACTGTGTTTACGAATTTGTATTGCTGTAATATGTTGAAACAACAGGTGTAGATGAAGACTAAAACCGGCAGTGGCTAGAATAATGGCGACGGTAAAATAGCTCATAATGTAGATTATAATTATATTTTTCCAGAGATCAGGCTGTTCAGGTAGTAACGGAGAATGGAATAGAGATGAGAGTTTTGATGACTAATTCTGACAATAAGTTTCTGGAATAAAGTTAATCCAACTTTCACTTCCTTATTAGGTGGAAAGCAATCACCACAAGAAAAGAATGACAAGAAGTAGCATGAATTCATTGGAATGAATTGTCTTCCAGGGAACGAAACAATGATTTGAAATTAAGCATCATAAATAATATATATGTACAAATATACGGATAGAAGTAATTTTGGAGGTATCTGAACAGGCTTTTTTTTAACCCTGCACATTGTGGTTTCGAATCCATACACTACATTCATGCTAAAATATAGTGGAGCCATGACCTGCTTAAATGGCCCTTTAGCCTATGCTGTGTAAGACCAGGTGAATGGACATCAGGCGTTTTTCCATCGCCGATATCATAAACTAGCAATTTGCTAGTGAACCCACGACATTAGGGTTACTATCATTTATAAATCATTTTGCACGGATATTTAGAATGCAATTTAGAACGGATGCAAATAAACCCATGTTCTGTATCTAAGCTCAATTCATTCAAAATGAATTGACGAATGCGTGAAAACTGTCTATGCCAGGACAAGATTTACAATGGTCCTGTAACTATGGTGGTAAACTAGCCGCATGATGAATCGACCTTTGTGGATTTGCTCCGTTTGGATGACACCCATTATCGACAGCATGTTCATGATTGATATTTGAGAGAGCGATGAAAGTGGCTATGATAACTATACGGTGGCACGTTTCTTTAGCTTAAGAAACAAACAGTATAGCAAATACAATAAAGACCAATTTTACATGAGCAATATCATTTCTTCTTGTCCATAATCCTTGAACTGGAAGACCTCGGTTTTTTTATAGAAGCTGCCTTCAACCACGAACAAATGTGATACCACCCCTATGAAAGTATTGAAATTGCTAATTGCTTAAAACTCTAAAATCCACAAAAAATGCAAGCTACGTGCAGTCAGTGGAGCAGCATCAGTCCTGTTCCATTGCAAATTGTTCCCGAATTTTCTTGTTTTCATTTCCATCATTGTCATAATAGAATCACTCATTGACTTAAAAGTCATCATCTGAGTTAAAGATTAAGCTCGTTTCTCGATTTTAAAAAGATTTATTGCCTCGAGAACACGTATTTGCTGCATTGATACTCGAAGCTTACCAGACACTCACTGCTTAGCAGAAATGATCATGCGTTGATGCTCTAACTTAATTTTGATGCATTTGAATCTCATCGAAACATATAAGGAATAAATGACTTAAATGAGCGATCCTACAATTCGTCTCCGCTTGGGACCATCAATAAAATGCGAAAAATTAAGAAATACAACAGCAGCGCCTGAAAAGCAGCAGGCATATAATAATAGAAGTAGCAGAAGATTTAAGAAGTAGTAAGGTTATTAGAATCGATGAAATCAGTTCTGATATGCTTAAAGCCTTAAGCATCCCTTAAACAACCATGACTGCGGGGGGGGTGGGAGGAGGGATCACCGGTTAACTGGATATCTGTGGTGATTCTATCCATGTTCAAGAAAGTAGACCATATGGAGTGCTTCAATTACAGAAACATTACCATATTGAGACTCCAGAGAAAAGGATACGTAGAGAAGTTGAAAAGAAGGCACCGTGGAGTAGGTGAATCTAAGATCGAAGAAGAGCAGCGTGTCTTAAGATTAAGTCGAGGCATTTCTGATCAAATTTTCCTCATATGCCATGTTGTTGAGAAATCGTTGGAATTCGCTCATCCGGCTTCATGTGGTTTGTGAACCTGAGGAAGGATTGTGTCAGAATCCCACACCACAATCTATGAGCGTGCCTGCAAACATATGAGGTCGATTGTCAGTTGCTACGAGTCAGTCAGTAACTGCGCATGGATAGCAGGCTCTGCGTCAGAATATTCAGCGTTGGCACACCGGTCTCCGCCAAAGCTGAGTTCAGCCCCCTCCCACTTTGTGTTTTACATGGATAGAATGAATAGTGAGGCTCCGCCAGAGCGATGAGTGCATCGGCATAGTAGATGTGGAGACTAGGAGGTTGCTGTTTTCAGATGACCTTCTTCTGTTGCTATCTTCTGAAACTGACCTTCAGCGATCTTTGGAAAAGTCTGCAGCTGAGGGTGACGTGGCCAGCATGCGTGTGAACTAGTGTGAAACGGAAAGTCTAGTGATTTCTTGTTTTCTGACTGGTTGTGTCTATTGGTCAAGGCGAATGGCAGCCTATGAGGCGCTTGCATCAGACAACAAAGCGGTATCTCACCTCAACAATGGTGTGATGATCACGCCAGA